TGCTCTTGCCTCCACAGACTCTGACCTTCTCTCCTACTTCTCTTCCCCACTCACTCTGCTTCAGCTAGAGTGACCTCCTCCCTCGGCCCCCGGGCCTTTGCACAGGCCTGCTACTGCCCCTCGCAGCTGGCTCCTTATGTTCTGCATTTCCTTGACTCCTTCCAGGTCACCCCCTCCCCCCCACCGCTGGGGCCAGCCATTCTCTCCCACCTCTGACACAAATGGTAATCCTTGTTCAAGTTTATTCTTGTTCTGCGTGCTAGATAATGAGCTCCGTGGCCACAGCGCCTTGCCCGGCTGTGTCCCGGAGCCCGGCACATAGTAGGGGCCGGATGTGTGTTTGTCAAATGCTAGAAAGCTAAGATCCAGCCTTCTGAGGGAGGGTGGAGGGGGGTGGGCCAGGCTGAGGGGCTGGGGGGTTGAGGGGAGCAGCCCCCACCTCCCCAAGCCTGGCTGGCGGCCTCTCAGGCATTTGAAGCACATGGAAGCAACAGCAGCAGCCTCAGCACACGGAGGGGCTGTGACTGCCTCAAAGTCACCGCTGTGCCCGCTCACCCGGCCTCTCCCTGGCCCAGTAACCTGCTCAGCGCTTTCCTCGGGTCACCGAGTCTCCTCTCTGGCAGCCCAGCCCCCGCTCAGTGCCCCCTCGCCTCCCACACCCTGGGCCGGAGGATTTGTCAGGGAAGAGCCCGAGCAGCTCTACGTGGCCTCCTGTCACTGCCCTTGGACCAACCCTGTCACCTGCACACCCCGCACCCCAGGTCCTGGCCCCCGGGGGCGCCTAGGGTAGGCTCTTTTGCAAGTCCTGGTGGACGAGAGCCTGGGCTGCAGAGCCCAGCAGACCCGCGGGTGGCCGTACGGTAAATTGTTGACGGTCACCTCCTGTGCACCGGGCTCTGTGCGGGGAGCTGGGGACAAGTGTGAATGACACCCACAGCACTGGGTGACCGAGTAGCAGGCACTGACCTAGGAGGTAAGGATGCTGGAGGCAGTGATTTATGGCCCCCAGGAGCCCTCCGGTAGCTGGGCGTGCCCTTGGAGGCTGGCTCTCTGGGTGGGGGATGTTGAAGTCCCAGCCCATGCAAAGGCCCTGGGGCTGGAGAAAATGAAGCAAGTTTGAGGGCCCGGAGTGTGTCTGAGGGGGAGGGGGAGAGGAAAGAGGAAGGGGAAGAGGGGAGGAGCCACTGGGCCCCATCCAAGGGGCCGGGTGTTTTGTTTGTTTGTTATTAAGTAAACTCTACCCGCAATGTGGGGCTCGAACTCATGACCAGTAGATCAAGAGCCCCATGTTCTACTGACTTGAGCCAGCCAGGCGCCCCTAGGGGTCAGTTCCCTATCCTGAGAGCAAAGGGGAGCTTTGGGAGGGTTGCATCAGGAAACTGGGCGTAAAACAGAAGATGCTCAGGTTTGCCTTGTGAGAAGACTGTTCTCTGTGGCTCAGCTCTCTCATCTGTAGAATGGGTTGGTGACACAGCTTCCACACGGGGTAAGGGTTAAAGGAGTAGGAGCTTACCCGGCCCAGGCCCCGGCTGTTGTGGGCCCTTTCCCTATAAAAATATATTAGACAGCAGGGCGCCTGGGTGGCTCAGTCAGTCGAGCGTCCACAGGCTCAGGTCATGATTTGCAGTTCATGAGATCGAGCCCCATGTCGGGCTCTGCGCTGACAGCTCAGAGCCTGGAGCCTGCTTCCGATTCTGTGTCTCCCTCTCTCTCTCCCTGCTCACGCTCTGTCTCTCTCTCAAAAATAAATACACATGAAAAAAAAATTAAAAGTATATACATATATTAGACAGGATCACCTAAATACACAGGACGATTAATAACAAACATAAAAAGATGTATGCTAGCAGTTGATTTTATGAGTTTGTTGGCATAAAGACAGAACGTATTAACATTATATACTAAAAATATTTTCTAACTCAAAGTTCATTTACTCTTCTGATTTTGAAAGAAATTACATTTTCCTGGGTCGCCGAAAGTATTATGGGATGCAGGCACACGCCCGCCCGCTCGGCCCTGCGCAGCCCTCCGAGTGGGGGACCGCTCTTTTAACAAGGTGCTGCCTGGCAGGGGCAGGAGGGGTGGGTAGTGGGGGCAACCAGAAGAGGAAGGGGTGTCTGTGTGCCCCGGAGCCTCCACTCTGCCCCCCGCCGCCCCCCTCAGCTCCCAGCTCCGCCGCTCTGGCTCTGGCTCAGTCCCATCCTGGCCCCTGGCTCCCGCCTGCTGGGAGTCAGGCAGAGTCAACCTCGCGCTGCCCCAGCACATAGAGCCCCAGGCTGGTCATCCTGCCCAGGGGAATGCTCAGACCCATCAGGCCCTTGCACAGAGCTCGCTCTCGCCCCTCCCTGCATGCCTTTTCTTTTCAAGCCTCAGCTCACATGCCACCTCCTCTGGGAAGCCCTCCCAGCCTCAGGCTTCAGCAGATCTTATACCTCCCTCACCTGCCAGGGCATTTGCGTGCCCCACCCCACCTAGGACTGGGAGCTCGGGAGCCACTCTGGACACAAGTGCTGGGGCAGGGTCCCCCAGAGGACATGCCCTGGGCCTGAGAAGGTGTGGAGCAGGCAGAGGGTGGAATGGGGTCTGGGGGAGTGCCCTGCTTGAGGGGTAGCGTGAGGGCAGGGAAGGGCAGAAATCCTTTCTGCCCCTGGCCCGCCTCCCTCCTCAGCCCCTGGATGCATCGGGCCAGTTGGCCCCAGCCCCCTGACCTAGGCAGACCTACACACGGTGGGGCTCAGGGGATGCCCGACAGGCGGGGGTCGGCCCCTCCCGGAAGGTCGGCAGAACGGCAGGTCGGCGCCCCTTCCCCTCCCGCCCCTTCGAGGCTTACTGCCAACCCATTGGGCACCGAGCCCTCTGAGAGCGGGAGCCAGCTCGTTTGTGGCCGGTGTTAATTAAGAGAGAGAGGTGATGGGGGGAGGTGGGGGAGGCCCGTGGAGGGCAGCTTCCGACAGCTGCCGGGACTGCTGTGGACCGACCCGAGATGCCCAGGCCTTGCCTGTTGGCTCCAGGGCAGGGCCGTCCGCACACCCAGGCCCTCCTCTCTGCCTGCCCCTTGGGGTGGGGGAGGTGGGTCCCGACGGCGTCCATCCGAGGGGCCTCTGTGCCGGAAGAGGCGAGCCCCAGCCCTAGCCAAGGGGAGATCCTCGGGGGGCCAGGCCTGGACCAGGCTGCCCTGAGGCCAGCCTGCTTGGTGGCTTCACTACAGAGTCAGACCCAGTTCTGATCCTGCCGCTGCCACTGGGCAACCCAACCCCCGCCCCCCCAGCCTCGGGTTCCTCCCATTTGTTATGATAGTAAGTGGGACCGTTTGTGCAGAGCCACGAGTCTGTGCCTGGCAGGCAGGCAGGCAGGCAGGCAGTCCTCCACGGCTCATTGGAAGATGCTTTCCTGGGGCAGCAGCCCCGTCCAGAGCCTTGGGGAGCCCAGCCCTTCAGTGGCCGGCCCACGGCTGCCTGGGGGTCCCGCCCGGCCCCTCCCAGGCTCCAGCTCCGGCTCCCAGCTGCCTCCCTGCCTGCTCCGCCCGCCTTCCTCCCACGCGTTCCCCGCAGCCCCCCAGCCCTGCTCTGGGAGCGCCCAGCCTCTCCTCGCCTCTCCATCTTAATTAGCTGCTTGTATTAATCTCGCAAGTAACGTGGCAACTCGCAGCCCTGGGTTTTCGGGCTGTGGAATTAATTATTCCCCAAGCGAAGAGCTGTCAGCTCTGGGAGACCAGCCACTCAGAGCCGCCCGACACCACTTAGCAGGGTCCACAGCTTCCGCACGGCACCCCGGGCCTGCGGCCCGGCCGGCCCGGAAGTGGCCCCCACTCCGGGCTCTGCTCCGTGTCCCCCTCCTACAGAGGGGCTGCCCCGGGCCCCCGGAAGGCAGGTGGGGTGGAGGAGCTGGGAGCCGGGACCCCCGGGGCCACAGGGGCCGAGGCACAGCTGGTCTCCCCACCTGGGCGGCACCTGCCCTGTCTCGCCCATCACTTACCCTGATTAGCACCAGCAGTTAACATGGACGCAGCTGCGTGGCCAGGAGCCGGAGCCCCGGCTGGTGAGGGCCACTGACCCCCATGGCCCCGACGACGTGCCGGCCGAGAGGCTTCCAGCTTCGCTTCGTCCTGGCATCAGCCCCGTGGGGAGGCTGGAGGGGGTCAGCGGGCCGGGCAGAGCGAGATGGGCGGGTCAGCGCCAGCAGCCGCCAGTCTGCGTCCGGTCTGGGGCGGGGGCTGGAGCCGAGGCTCCCTCTGTCCCCCTGGACCTTCACACCGGCCCTGTGAGATGGGTCTGTTCTTCCCCGGGGGAAACTGAGGCACAGGGTGAGGTGGCCCGAGTCACCCATCTGCTGAACCGGCTTTGGCTCCGGGCCTGGTGCTCTGTGCCCTCACTGTGCCGCCCCAGGATGGGGCCCTTACCTGGCACACGGTCACTGCCGTCTGTTAGGGGCGCCCAGCCCTGGTTCACAGCCCCCCCACCACACTCGTTCCTTGGGCGGTACTTAGCACAGCTGCGACAACACAGTGTGTCTTCTAGTGGCCTCGGGTTGTGCCCCCACCCCCCGCCCCGGCTGCCTGTGAGCTCCAAGGGCAGGGACCAGGGCGTGTCTCTGCACCAGGCCTGGCACAGGCGGGCCTCGGGAGATGCTGGGTCAAAACAGTGAATCCTTTTATTCAAAAGGATGCGTGTGGCCACAGGTCTTGTGTCCCTCCAGACCCCGCATGTGGCTGTTTCTAGGGTGAGTGGCTGGGCCCTGGTGGCTCGGGGGAACCCCCCACCCCACCACCCTGCAAACCCCAGGCCCTTTAGGAGCCCCAGCAGGAGAGGAAGTCCCGGCCCTCACCACCTCCCCCTGTGTGCTGTGTGCCCCCCCTCAGAGAAGACCCTGTGCCCAGAGTCTGAAGACCCCGGGGGCCTGGACCAGCCACAAGCCTCCCATCCCCCCCGCCCCCCACCAAACTGCTGGCCCACCTGCCACTCCCCGACTGACTGGCTTTTTTCTCTCTCTCTCTCTTGCAGCCAACAGCTCCCTGCTAGGAGGTGGCGGTGGTAAGTGCTTCCTGGCCTGGAAGGGGCGGGGGAGGGACACTTGAGGGTTGAGAGGGACTGGGATCTGGAATCCGGAGGTGGGGGGGGGGCGCTGCAGGTGTGATGGGAAAAGCCCAGCTCCCAGGCTTCAGCCTCCGCACCTGTGAGGGCAAAATGATCGTTTCTGCTCCACGCTATAACCTCGGAGGGCGGCCCCCAGAAAGACTCGTGCGTTCGCCGTGGTTCACCACCGGGAAGCAGGGGTTCCAGCTGAAACCGGGTGGGTCAGAGGCTGGAGGTCGGGTGGGCCCAGCCTCCAGGGCTACAGGCTATAGGCTGGTGCCACGGTGGGGCAGTCCCTGTTCACCTCCCAGGCCTGCCCTGGCCAGCTGCCCAGGCTGGCCACCAGCCTCCCTCGCCTCAGCCCCTGTCCTCAAAGTGGGAGCTGGACTGCCCCGCCACTGCCACCCGGCAGCAGCATGATTGCAGTTGGGGCAGGGGCACAGTCATGTCAGGCTTGACTGGGGTCCCCGGGGTCAGGTTTAATGGCAGCAGTGGCGGGTCCGGGCCAGGTTTTAAAAAGGGGGAAAATAAAAGGGGCAGCCAGGCAGAAGGTCAGGAATAAATAAGAACAAAGGAAGAGCTGCTCCAGACCGGCCAGATGGACGGGTGTGTGTGTATGGGGTCTGTTTGTGGCCACACAGATTTTCCCCTCCCTCCCTCCCCTCCCCCCCACTCCTCCTCCACTGTCCCTGTGGAGGTCACAGCTGTCCTGGAGGCCTCACGAGAATGAGGGGTCAGCTTTGGGGCCTATCCAGGACCTTGTTCGAAGCCCGCCTTGGAAAACTCGGGTCAGTCGTAGCTGATTTGACACCTGCCGCTCAGACAATTCTCCTCCCTTCGCCTGTTTATTCACTGCCAGTGATTGAGCACCTGGTCATCAGGCTGGCCTCGAAGCCGGGTGTTGACCAGGTATGCTACTGGTCCGCGCCTCCTGAGCTCACGACAAGGAAGGGCACCCACCGCTACACACAGGGTGGTCCGGCGATGGGGAGTAGCAGGGCTCCTGGAAGGAGGTGGGGTCACACTGGGACCAGGAATGGTGGGAGTGCACGGAAGGGTGTCCTGGGCAGAGGAACAGCACAGGCGGAGGCCCGAGGAGAACATGGGACATTGGGGGAGGATCAAGATCGAGCTGCCGCAGCCCAGCCAGGCGGAGGGAGGAGGAGGTGACACCGAGCCTCACCGACCCCATGGGAGCTGGATTTGCCCCTGCAGTTCTGGGAGGCTATGACCACCAAGAGGTGGGCTCTTAAACCCCAAGTCAGGTCCATCACCCCTCTCCCGCCTAAAAACCGCCAGGTTCTCACCAGAGTCAAGGTCCACCAGGGGCCCCAGCCACCTGCCAGGCTTCACTGCCACTGCTCCAGCCCTCCCCTCACTGCACCAGCCTCCTGTTAGCCTCCTGCCTCGGGCCTGTGCAGGCTGTTCCCTCTGCCTGAACCTTCTCCCTGTGGTTAAGGTTGCTCCCCTTTCGCCTGTTTCACAGGTCCCCACCTTGCTAGGGAGGCTCACTCCCGACCCCAGGTGAAACTGCAGCTGTCTGTCCCCAGCCTGCAGCCTGTAGCCCCTCCCCCTCTCCCTTCACCTCACCCCTGCTCTTCTGTTTGTCATCATATTAGGTCATTGTCTACCGCCTGTCTCCCCGGGGCTGAGAACAAAGCTCTGGGGGTTCACTGTGTCTCCAGCAACTAGAACCAGGTCTGGCACACATATAGTAGGTGCTCAATTAAATGGTCGGTGAATGAATGAATTTAAAAAAGGCAGGACAGCCTCATGTTGCAGGGCTTGCTGAGGAAGGCAGTCGGGCCTCGGCCTCGAGGCTTTAGGGCAGGCAGGAGTGGCTGGTAGGTGGCCTGCTGACCTCACTCTGGGGGTCAGCGGGCACCTGTTCTGGCCAGATGGGAGTGGGGAGGCATATTGGGGGCCCGGCTCCCCCCTTCTGCAGCATTGTGGGGGAGAAGAGGCTGGAGCAGGCCCCGCGCTGCCTGACTGACGCAGAGATGGATGGGTGGGCCGGGACCCGGAGGAAGTGAGCCCCGAGTCCAGCCTTTAACGCCAGCTGGATTTATGGGAGTCAGCTGTGAGTGTTCATTGCTGGGCTGTCACTCTGCTAATGTGATTGGAACAAGGTGGAGGTGCAGGAGGGACCGTGGGAGGGCGGTTGGAGGCCTGGGGCTGCCTGGGCTGGGATGGGGACGCCATGTTCAGCCTCTCCTGCTCGCCTGCCACACAACGAGCTCTACTGCCCGCCAGCCCAACGGCAGCCTCAACCCCCCTGAACTGCCCGGGTGGGGAGCCACAGGCACGAAGTCGCCTTGGGATTTCTTCGTAGAAGTTTAGGGTTCTCTTTGTTTCGTTTAGACTTACTTTGTTTTCTATGTATATTAAAGGAAGTTTCTTTTTCGAGTCTCCAGTTTCATGGGAATAGTTCCTTTCTACTTACTTCCTTTGTTTTGCGACTACCTATTTACTCACAGATTCATTTACCTCTCTTTCTACCTTTCCATTTGCCTCTCTTCTTGCCTATCCATTTCTCTATTTCATCTATTTGCTTCCTTTGGCCATTTTACCACGATGCATTTCCATATCTATCTATCTGCCTATCTGCTCATCTATCTATCTATCTACCTTATCTACCTATTTATTCATCTATCTACTCTATCTATCTACTCTATCTATCTATCTATCTATCTATCATCCATTTATTCCATCTATCTATTTCCATTCCATTATCATTTTTCCATTCTATCTATTCGTTTATCTACTTTTCTATCGCATAAGCCTTTTCTTTTTTCATTTATCGAGTATATTTTCTTTCTCTATTTATCTATTTACTTTTCATTTAATGACGATGATGATCGATTCTTTTATCTGTCTATCATTCATGTCATCTATCTATCTATCTTATCATATCTGTTTCTTATTTATCTATCTTATCTACCATTTTATCTATCTTATATCACGATTATCTATCGAGATTATCTATCTATCTATTTACTCTATCTATCTATTCCATTCTACTCTTTCCTTTCTATCTAGAGCATTTTTTTTTACGAGCTATCTATTTTCTATTTATCTATTTGCTTTTGTCTTTTTTTACGAAGATGCATTCTTTTATTATTCTTTTGCATTTATCCACACTTCCATTTCAATTTCCTCTCTTTCCACTATCCATCTTCTCTCTATCTAGTTATCCATTTGCTCTCCTCCTCCACTTTCGTTTCTCTCTATCTACTCTATTTGTTTACTTTTCACTATCCATTTACTTTTCACTTACTGATCTGCATGTTCTATCTGAGCCCATATGTAGGTATCATTGGGGTTACTCACGGTAGGGTTTCCGTTTTGCTACTAGAAGTGAATTTAATGAAGCTGAGGCCTCTGTGTCACTGTAAAGGGACTCTCCTTCACTCCTCACTGTTTTGTGGGTTTTCTTAGCACTGATCCCTTTTAACGTCCGTCAGATGAGATGTTGTTTTGTTGTTTGCTCCCTCTCTCACTAGAGGCATCAGGGATTTGTGGGGAGCCTGGCTAAGCTTTGCCTTTAGGGGGGGCGGTATTGCACCTCTGCCAGGCCCTGCCCTGAGCTGCCACACAGGTCCAACAGCCCTGCACTGGGGTGGGGGGAGGCACCTGATAAGTTGGGGGGAGGGCGGTCTGGGGCAGCTCTGGCTCAGAAGGAGGCCCTCCAAAGGGGGCCCGGGCTTGGCCGGCAGGGCTTTGCTATAGTGAGCCCGGTTTTCGCATGTGGGGTGCTTATGGGTGGGAGGGGACCGCAGCCCCTCGGGAGCAGGGAAGGGAGTCTGTGAACACCTCCACCCTCAGCAAGAGCCCCAGGGGCTCCTGGGGCCAAAAGGACTTAACCCAAAGAGTCCAGGACTCTTGGGCCTGGTTCATTGTGGGGCTGGGTCCCCACCAGGCCCCGAGGCCAAGGTGGCTCGTTCTGGCAACACCGTGAGTCTTGGGGAAGCCCCGTAACTCCCACCCCCCACACACACACACCCATTCCTTCCCAGGGCTCTGAGTGTGGGTGGCGGTGGGGACTCGGGACTCGGGCCTCGGCCCCGCCCTCAGAGAGACCCAGTTTGGTAGAAGGCTTCCCGGCAGAGGGGGCCTCTGACTCAAGCCCTGAAGGATGACTAGGAGTTGGACAGGCAGAGAGGGATAGAGAGGCCCAGCAGGTGGAGGGCCCGGGGTCTGAAGTGGGGAAAGACTGGACGGGCTGGGACAGCCTCCCCGCCTCCCAGCCAGACCCGGAGACCCGCCAGGCCCACTCCCCCTGGCCCGCCTCCCTCCTGGAGAGACTTTTACTGGCTCGATAAAAATTTTTTTCAAACCTGAACACTCTCCTATTGTATGGTAAGAAGGGAGGCGGGCCCTAAATCAGGATGGGAATCGACAGGGCCCTGACGCGCGTCTCTCCTGTTTATTAGGACTGAAATGTTTACTCGGCGATAAGGAGCCGGCTTTCTCGCGGAGATTTGTGCGTTCTTTTTCAATTACCCCTCGTCTTTCTCTGCCACTTTTGCACTAAAGGGATAATAAATGTATCGGAGCGTTTCAATTATTCATCTAAATCATGACTGCGCCTGCCATGGCCAAGCTTTAGTGACAGATTAATTCAGGGCCTCCTCTGCTCACGCGGCCGCCATCTCTGCTCCGGCCTGGCCAGCTCCCCAAAGGGCTGGCCTGCGGGGCGGGGCGGGCTGGGGTCAGGCAGGGCTCCCGCCCTGTCCCCTCCACACGCCCTGTCCCCTCCACACGCTCACTCTGCCAAGGACACTCCCTCCCTCCTGGAGGTCAGCGGCCCAGCCACACACTCCGGACCGCAGGAGTCAGCTCCTACCCCTGGGGGTGCGGGCGTCCTTCCCTCCTGCCCGCTGGGCCCTGCGCAGCCCCTGCTCCCCACGGCTCAGCGTGTGTGTCTCCCACACCCCCGGGGCCCAGACGTCCCCTGC